AATACACTAGCCAGGGCTCTGTATTTTAATATATTAATTTTCTCGAATATTGGTTGCACATTTTTCTTTGATTTTCATACGTTGTAAGTAAACATAATTTCATAATAATAAAAGAAAAATTCAATAATTAAATAATTTATTAATAAAATAACATATTTATAATAATAAAATATTATTATAATTTTATAACCAAATTTTTATAAAAACATAATTACTTATCAACCAATTTGAATTTAATTTTTTTATATAATATAATCCTATAAACTATCTATATTACTAAAATATAAGAAAACAGTATTAGCTGTTAAAATAATTAATATATTAATCATTTTTGAAACATCATTTACTTTTGATATTTTTTAATTTTTGCTAAAGTTTACGAGTTATAATTAATTTTACTTGCTTTTTAAGGTAATAATTTTTTCAATCTATAATATTGTTTGCTAATATAATGAGTTTATAATTTTATATTTTATTATATATTTTTAGTGAGTCTTGTTTTTTATTTTATATTAATCAATACTTTTATAAAATATTTCTTAATAAATTACATTTAAGTTACTTGTAAGGAATAATTATAACCAATCAAATTAAACATTTATTAAAATTAATAATTAAACATATCATATTCCTATTATATTTAATATGTACCTTATATAGTATAATATAACCGATCAAAACTAAATTACTTTTATTTTTCAACCAATAAAATTAAAATTCTTAAATATATTATATTCTTATCATATTTTGTTTTTAGTGTTTTGACCAAGTCAAAACTCTATTCTATTAATTGGAGGTAACAGGTCCGTTCGGCAAAATTAGTTGTTTTAGTAGCATTTAATTATTAGCTGTTTGAGTAGCTTTTCATGAAACGTTAAAAATTAAACATTACTTTGAGTAGCTTTTCATGAAACGTTAAAAATTAAACATTACATGAGTTAACTTTTCACAAAACGCTACCTTAACTTTTAAAAGTTAATTCAAACGTTATGTTATCGAACACTGTAAAAAGTAGCACTTAGTATTTTGATTTTTTAAAACACTAAAAGCTACTTCAAAAGCTGTTACCAAACACAGCTAACATAAACATAGTATTTATATTAGCTTTTAGAGGTTGATAGTATTTTTTATGAAACGTTAAATACTCTAATGTTTAGCTTTTAATTAAATTTTTTTTAAACCATACCATTGTTTTTTTTCTTGGAATTTGGCAAATTAAACAATTAGTGTCGTTTTTGTCATTTTAACTTAAACAGTTAATTTTACTAAACACTTCTAATTTAAATTACTATATAAACAGCTACCAGATAAAAGTGTGTTCGACAACGACTTTTTAAGTAGCTTTTAGCTTTTTAACTGGTCAAAATACTATATGCTATTCTTTATAGTATTCGGTTACATAACGTTTCAACTAATTTTTAGAGGTTAAAAGCAGTGTTTTATAAAAGTTGACTAATGTAATATTTAGCTTTTAACATTTTATGAAAAACTATTCGAATAACTAACAGTTAGACAATACTAAAACAGCTAATAAATACCAAAATAACTAATTTTACCGAACTGACCCAAAAGCTTATAGCTAACAGCAGCTAACAGTTATTAAAACAACTAAAACATTGCCGAATATATCCATGACTTATTTCATTTTGAATTCATATTATAAATATTATTTATTATAGATAGATAGCTATATGATATTTAATATATTAATCAATATTTTAGAGCATTATTTATAATTTTGGCATTTTTTTTTACTCTTTACTAAAATCTCCAAGTATATAATTAATTTTATGGTTATATTTTTTGAGAAAAAAATTTCTTCCAACGTGTTATATTGATTTAATATAACATGTTATATCAAAATTTTATATTTTCTATATATTTGTAATGAGTTTTATTTTCTATTTTATATTAAATAATAAATGTTTTATTTTCTATTTTATATTAAATAATAATTTTAATAATATAAATTCTTTAATAAAATAAATAATAAATTGTTATATAAAATGAAAGTGCAAATCAACAAGTTTAATATATTTTTAAACATAGTAAAATCTAAATAATAAACCACGTTGTACAAATAAATAAGAAAAGTTAAAATCTTAAGAAAGTATATTTGATCAAGTTTGACAGAGCACGATAATTAGAATTTGTATGCAAAAAAGAAACAAAGAAAGAAAAGGGATGACCACGCACATAAACCAAGTAGTGGCGCCTGCGGAAAAAGAAAAAAAAAAAAAGAGGGTTTTTAAATTTTTTAGAGAGGGAGGTTAAAAAAAAAAAAAAAAAAAAAAAAAGAGGGGTTTTTAAATTTTTTAGAGAGGGAGGTAAAAACGGCTTTATCTCTCTTTCTCTTTCAAAGATTTGCAGGAATTAATTGTAGTCAATCAAATTAAGAATTTATTAAAAATAATAATTAGGTATATTATGTCCTTACATATTTAATATGTACTCTCTCCGTCTTATATATATAGGCTCACTTTCCTTTTTCATCTGTTTCAAAAGTGAGGTCCTATTTTTTTTTTTTAAAAACATCATTTATGATCCAATTTCTTAACATATCCCTATTTAATGTACTACATTCCCGATTCATACCCATCATTTAATATTATAAAGAGATGTTTTGAAAAAAAAACTAAACAAAAGATATAATTCAACCATATTAATGAATTTTTCTTAATCAATGTGAACGTCAAACTAAACTATATATACGGAATGGAGGGAGTATCTTATATAGTATAAAATAATCAATCGAAATTAAATTACATTTTATTCTAAAAAAAGATCAAATTACATTTATTTTTTCAATCAATAAAATAATAATGTTTGAGATTTTATTCTTATTATATTTAGTATATATATCATATAATTTCATATAATTTCTTATTTTATGTAATAGAAGTTAAATTTAAATAGAAAATAATTATGACCAATAAAATTAAAATTTTTAATGATATTTTTGTCGATCCATAAATTCAGCAGGATTATTGTTTGGTAATCCTACTATTTCCTCTCCTCATCCTAATCCATAAATGTTCTCCCTATTACTCTATTACTGATTAATTTTAACAGAAAAATTCAGTAGTGTGATGAGAATAAAATTGAAAAATTATATAATGAAATTTAAAAATAGGGGTAGTAAGTATTTTCTATTTTACTGATTAATATTTTAATTTTCAAACTAGGCTTTAGCGAGTCTTTGATTGGAAATCTTTTAGCATTGGTATAAAGAATCTACTTTTAATAGAACAGAAGAAAACATATGAAGTATTATTCTATTTAAATAAAGACAAATTGGCCCTTAAAAATCTTATTCAATGCGTGATAACAAAGTGAAATATTTGTTAATTAACACAGTTTTTTAGATTTATTCCAAAATAAAGTCAATACAAATATTAAAATTAAAGTTGAAGATTTTTTTTTTATAATTAAGCCAAAAAGAAAAAAAAAAAAAAAAAAAAAAAGAAAAAAAAAAAAAAAAAAAAAGAATTCAACTCTAAACTAAATGCCGAAAGGTAGCAATTTTTGAAGTAAGAGGAGTAGTTAAAGCAGATTCATTGAAGAGACCCACGTAAGATCACATTGGTCCCGCTTATGCCCAATAAAAAAAAAAAAAAAAAAAAAAAAAAAAAGAATTCAACTCTAATCTAAAATGCCGAAAGTAGCAATTTTGAAGTAGAGGAGTAGTTAAAGCAGATTCATTGAAGAGACCACGTAAGATCCACATTGTCCCGCTTATCCAATCAAAAAACCATGTGCATACACATGACAATTTTACTATTATATTTTAAGTTTTTTGTTTCTTAGCAACGAATACTGCCATTATTGGACAATAAAATATGAGCAGATCCAAATAAAGAGATTTAACACCATCATCCAGTCTTATCAATTATTATTATTATTATTATTTTTTTCTTTAAATTAAAGAGAACGTGATCCAGTAGAGCAAGTTTCAATATTTCATCCTTAAATAACAAGTTCTATTAATTTCACTCTTCAATGTTGTTTGAATTCACGTATTTAAATTTTTAAATGTACAACATAATCGAAATGATTTAAGATCTATAATGTTTAAAACTTCATATGAATTTCATTTTAATCCAAATTAATCAAAGTTAAGTTCATACACTAAGATAGATGAATTCAAGCACAACTTGAAGATTTTCTAATCAAGAAAGGAGGCTTCACCATCATGGCCAAAAGTTTAATGGAATAATTAATTCGTTCATTCTCTATATTGGATAGCATTTAGTCATAAGGAAAATTAATATTTAATTACAACCAAAAAGTTTGAACAAATTTCCCATTTAGAGAATATGTAATTTCTTTTTCTAGTATCATACCGTAAAATTTTAGACTTTTTTATATGTTTGTGTGTATATATATAACAAATACATAAATTCTCCATTGAATTTTATTACTTAATTACATAAATTCAGCTATGAGGGAAACAAATTGTACCACTAAAATTATAATTTTGGTAAAACTAAATTTTTCACATTAATCACAATAATATTTAGGTTTGTCAGCTTTTATACGAAATATATTGATTTAATATGTGGTCAGCACAACTTTTGAAATAATAATTTTCATATATTTCAACCATCTAATTAATATTTAATTGATATAATTTTTGCAAATTGAGGTGCTTAATAAGTATAATTTTATAAGTTAAAATGCACAATAAATTTGTTTAATAGTTGAAGATGCCACAAGATTAAAATAACAAAATTAATAAAATTCAAGGGTGAATTTTAAGTGTTCAGCCTCTCTCTTCTCTATATATATCACACCTTAATCGATAAGATGGACCCTTGGGGCTACATCCTAGGCTGAAAGGGGTGTAGCAAACTAGCAACTTAAGTTCTATCAAAATGCTAAGCAAGCGTACAGAGTTACAACCATAAAGACAAACTCTTTACCGTGTTTATTTGATCCTTCTTGACTTCAAATTCAACTAATAAATATTACTAATAAAATAATTTTCAAGTTTAAGGGTGTAACTGCAATAACTTCTCTCTTTCATTTTCTTTTAAATAATCCAAAACAATGTACAAATTCCTTGCTAGCTACTGCAAAACCAAAACCTTATAAGCAAGCGTGCCTAATATATAGCACACAGCTCAAAAGTAGAAGAAAAAAGGGCAACTGATGAGAGATCCGCCATGCAAACTTCCTGCTCCCACTCAAAAAGTTGGTAGCTAAGAAGTAATTCAGTAATTGATTTGGACAATTTTACATTTTCACGTTCTCATCCTTGTGGCAGTTTTGATGGGATAAAGAAAGGATACACATCCCTTGTTTCAAACAAAGCAGACAAAAATGCATGGTGATATCTTATCCTGGATTCTCTCAGGCCAAAATTCTACCTGCCAAACTTCAGATAACTAGACCTACATGCTAGAGACAGCAACATTTGCAAAAATTGAAGACACCATCACTTGGAACACATTATAAAAAATGTGAAACTATCCAAATCATGGTCAAATACACAGCGTTGTGTAGGTGTTATCACATAACCAAAAGATTTACCTGACCTCTCTCGGCAAAAAGTACCTTGTAGGCAGCACCAACAGCGAACCTTTCATGTCACTTCACGGGTTTTTAGGTTAGGGGTGGGCACTGCATTTGCAGGTGTCTTTGTCAGGTTACTCTTTGCATTTCCAGTAGTTTGTCCACCAGAGTTTTTAACATTTCCTATCTCAGATGCCAAGATCGATTTCTTTATCTGCCAAAATAACATCGAAAAAGATTAAGTAAAATAATGACTGTGAAAGAATGTAAGATTCAGAAATTTCATCTTTTCTACATATACTAAACAATAAACTCTTCTCCATCCACCATGCAGTCGAAGATAGACTTGTCAGTCTATGCATAGCATAAATATGCAGATATTCATACACACACGTATGAATGTATTGATGTATATTGATTCATACAAACACTGTAATGTGTGGATGCATAAATATTAACAAAACTACACCTTTATCTACATTAGCAAAAGAATGGTAAGAAAAAACTTACAACTCCAAGTCGTTCCTTGTGGATATCACTTGTAAGCTGTAAAACCACCAAAAATAGTAATCAACAAAATGCAAAAATTGAGAATTGCTTGTTCATCAAAAACATTTTCAATTCTCTTCAATTCATCAGTGGAACCCAAAGATACATTCTCATGCCACATTTCCACTTCCAATGACAACACAGACCCAAGTAAGTTCTTACCGGCTTTCGGTAAGTTTTAATCTCATCACCACTAAATCCTGGAAGTGTTATATTCCAATTTCTTTCTGTAGCAAAATGTAAGAATGTCAAATGGTTAGCACTAAAAGTAAATGAAATTAATATATAAATAATAGAAGACTCTTCCTGTATAACTAACCAAGATGTAGAAGTATGTCCTTTGCTTCCAATGTATCAGATTTTCGATGCTTGGCTAAGGAGCAACCAAATGTTGTGATCTGGAAAGAAAATTTAAGTGGTAGTTTAGGTGTGATCTAAAGAATGAAAAACAGTTTGAACAAGATTAGAGTGGCAAGGATAAGGAGTTCTACGAATGGTGAAATTCAAAAAATCAACCTGTAATTGCTAAAAACTTATTTTGGATTTTTTTAATTCCTTCCTTAGTAATGCAATGTATTTCATAATTCTACCAAAAGTTTAAATGCAATCACTCATGACTCACCGACTCAACAAATTCATCAGCTATATCAGCAAGAATGTCCTCAACTTCAGGATCCAACTTCTCAGATGGATCAATCTATCAAAGAAGCAAGAAGGATCATATTAACAACAGAACAAAATTTCACAAAATGACATATAAATTCTACATGAGAAAAAACATTAATAGTCACATTCTAAGTAGAAAGCAAGTTCATTTTGAGGTTTTGCATGGCACAAATTAACCAATGCCTCAGTGTAACATCAAGCTTTTAAACAAGACCAATGGAACTTTATCCTTCGGTACAAAACCTAAGACACAAAATGTTTTACTAGATCACTCCAGTCTCATATTTAGAATTCTTGTATTATGTCCCCTGATATTATATCCTTATACCTTATGTAACTTCCTATTTAGTACTACTTACAGTCTAATCCTAATAGAACACGACAGAGTCTTTAGGTCTCTATAGACATTTATTTATACCTAGAAATTTCCTAAAGTTCTGATTAATGGATTTATGAGTATTTGATTTCAAAGGCCTGTATGCCTAGTTTTGCTCCGTGCCTTTCTATTCTCTTGGTTGCATTCTTTCCCTCTGATACTACAACACATTAAATACAGTTCACAATACTCTGAACCACCATGGATTTCTCTATTATTCTTATTGTAATCAGTTCTAACTCAAATTCTTTACCTAATCTACCTTTTTCTTCAAATCTTGCACATGAAATTCATCACTGGCTGGTAGAGGTATAAATGAATCAAGTCGAGTTTGAGGTCTTGTGAGACACAGATTAGAGTTCGAGATCTACTTGAGCATGATTCAAGCTTGAAAAGTCAAGCTCGGGCTCCATTGTTAAAAAAGAGCCAAGCGCGAGCGAGCTCAACAAGGTTTGTAATGCAAATAATTTGGCAAATAGAAAAAACAAAAAGGAATAAAGAAGGCTTTGGTCCACAATTGCTTTTTTTTTTTTTTAAAAAAAAAAGCAACATAAAGAAATCACCTCAACAGGTACTACCAATTAATTAACCACACAACCATCTGGGAGGTGGTGGTGTTTTTTTTTTTTTTTTTTTTTTTTTTTTTTTTTTTTTAGTTTGAGGTCTTGTGGCCGATTAGAGTTCGAAGTTTGAGCATGATTCACTTGGTCAAGCTCGGGCTCCATTTGTTAAAAAAGAGCCAAGCGCGAAGCCGAGTCAACAGGTTTTGTAATGCAAATAATTGGGGATAGAAAAAAAACAAAGGAATAAAGAAGGCTTTGGTCCACAATTGCTTTTTTTTTTTTTTAAAAAAAAAGCAACATAAAGATCACCTCAGGTACTAAATTTAATTAACCACACAACCATCTGGAGGTGGTGGTGTTTTTTTTTTTTTTTTTTTTTTTTTTTTTTATTTTTTTTTTTTTTTTTTTTTTTTTTTTTTTTTTTTTTTTTTTGAAATAATGAATTTTATTAAAGAAGAAAAACTGAGCACACCAAGTACAAGCAACTGGAATACAAAATAACCACAAACACAAAGCTATGGGAAAGCAATAAAAATAAACCGCTTAGTTAATCCTAGTCCAGCAAGGCAAAGAGCCTGGCCACAAAATCAGAAGTTTCATGACAGCAGATCTGGAAAGAGAGTCTGCAAAGCTGTTAGTGCTTCTGGATATAAGAGTGAGAGAGAGACTGAAAGTGCTTAAGTAATTCATCAATATTCAGCAGTCTGTCAGTATTTCCATGGCCTTTCTGATTTATTGAGAACACACGAAATAACAGAAGCATTCAAGGTTTAACAACAGAAATGATATCCACAACAGCTTTTGGGAGCAGCTATTTGGAAGGAGAGAAATATTTGATATGTTGAAGAAAATTAAAAATAGATCCATGAAATAAAGCCAACGCAAATCCCAAATCGCACCTAACGAATTCAGCAAAACAAAAACCTAAACAAAGGCCAAAATTTCCACAGAAACGAAACGTGAAAACCTCAAAATCCATAAAGTCAAAATTTACAAAAAAAAGTACCAGAAATTCATGGGGTTTTAATTGTTCATTGCAATGACTAATGGACCGATTAGGGATTGAACTGAGAGACTGAGCTCACGTTTCGCATAAACCGTGCCACGGAGAGATTGAGCTTTGGAATATGGCAAATGGCAAAGAGGCAAGTGTGGAAATGATGCCAGGGTGTTTATGGTTGAGAATGAAATTGAGAACCCTACTTCAAGACAACAGAGTTTTGATGTAGGTTCACTTAAAAGAACTAGCTTGCAAGCCAGATTCCAAAGATCGAACTTGGCTTGACAGGCTTATCAAACGAGCTTTTTCTGAGCCTAACAGAGGCTCAAACAGCTTGGTCCACTTACACCCTAACAACTGGAGATACTCCTATCACAAAAGATCCAAATTTTTATGCAAAACTACTATAACAGTGCAACTGAGGCAAAGTTTAACAACTAAAACTACAAGCAATCTAATGGGGATGCTAAAAATTGATAAGAAAACTCTAGTTAATGCGAGGCTCTAACACTGTAAAGAAATCTTTTTTGTGGATCATATTAGAGCATCATAATCCTTAAAACATAATCACAACAATTTGGAAAAAGCAGCATGGATTCTTTATAATTTGATATAACCAAGCTTGTTCACCTGGCTAACTAGCTCATGGATACTTCTTTTGCTAAGTATCCGATTACCAGATTCCTCACTTTCCATATTAGTTGTACGACTCTGGGCCACTGGCTGTACATTGTTAGGCTGTACTACTGCTAAGGAAGATGGCTTCAGGTTTGCTGAACCTTGAAGAGTGAGCTGTTGTGTTATGGACCGTGGACCCCTTGATGGTGGAAGATGTTGCCCAAAATGTTCTGATGGTTGATGGGATGGCAAAGGCTGCTGTGGCTGTGCAGGTGACATGTGCTGCTGCTGTGAAGTGGCAGGCAGGGAATGGTGTTGCTGAGGAATATGTGACCTTTGTTGCGGCACAGATGGGGAGCTTATTTGTGGTCTATATGAAGGTGAAGGCAATGGAGGCTTGCCTTGAGATCCAGATAACCATGGCTGATTAGAGGACTGCATATTTTGAGATGCAGTTGATGCTGGGGAACCAGAAGTAACTACTGAAGGCCTCATAAAACCATGCCCTTGCAAATTCTAGACAAATTAGTAACCATTAGAAAAAAGTTGAAAAACCTAACTCTCATCCTTTTTTCGTAAAAGCAAGAAACATAAAATCAGTCAATAGATACTACTGTTGCCATCATGATTTAAGTGAAGTACAACAGGGATGTTTTCATCCATCCCAAAGCTTTCCATGACACCTTTCACATACCTAAGACTTTAAATCAATGAAAAGAGAAGCAGTGAACTAAAGATAGCAACTTTAGCACAAAATGTCACATCATTGATAATTTCATTCCAATTTCAAACCAACAACAATTATTGACAACAAAGCATCTATAAGTTATTAAAAGATATGAAGATAAGAATCCAAACGGCAGTGAAGCTACACCTAATTTGTACGGTGGGGAGCTGATCAAGCTTTTTGGTATGACCTGTGAAATTCAGACACAAACTTCACATCTGCTAACCAAATGCAAACGCTGAAAATATTGTAATATCATTTCTTAGTAAGGCATAAATGAGGCTCATTGTATTTGGTTAATAAAGAAAAACCTAAGTAAGTAAATTGCCAGGCCTAAGCCAAATTCAAATAGCAAATTATTTGATTATTTCTTTTAGCAACTCAACTAATTATAAAATCTGACCAACATGCATAGACTCACTAAATTTAAGGGCAAAAAAAAAAAAAAAAAAAAAAAACAGCATAGACTCACTAAATTTAAGGCAAAAAAAAAAAAAAAAAAAAAATCAACGTCTTTAAAATAAAGGCCAACTAAATTTTAAAAAAAAAAAAAAAAAAAAAAAAATCAACGTCTTAAAATAAAAGGCAACTAAATTTTATATAAAAAAATTAGATACTAAATAGAACCACCATTCAACAAATATTAAGTGAAAAAAAGAGGTCAAACAAAATCCTCTGACATGGGTACTAACTTGAGCAGAAGGGGACTGGTTATTTGGGGAAGAAGTTGGCGGTCTAATAGATGATTGAACAGGTCTCTGTTGATGATGTGCAGGAATACCAACTGGCCGAATCTGAGAACCCGAACTCATTGATCCTGTCATTCCCATTCCCTGCATCCCATGCCTCACCTAAATAACTCAAAGAACACAATAATAAACTAACCAACCAAAATCACACGTTGATAAATTAACCATGATGAAATGTAATCTAATAAATGCATTTTCAAGTGTAATCGTTTACACTAAAAATGCATTTGCTTACAAGCTTGCCAAACACAGCCTAAATCAATAACTTATTACTATCTCACCTGTGAATTGCTAGCATTAGCAACAGATTCAGGCACATTGACAGTGCCGCGAGTCAATGCACCAAACTGCTGACCAAAAGAAGACGAGAAAGGAGCGGGAGAAGGGGTAGGGTGAGACGCGGGAACACCAATAGCAACACCGCCTCTTTGTTGTTGAGAAGCAGAGGATGATAAAGAGGACACGGACGAAGACGGAAGAGAAGGAGACGGAGAAGCAGCAATCGAAGAGAAATGCGAGAAATGTGAATGTGGATGAGGATGATGCCATTGTCTATGACTATGTAGGGTTTGGGGCCTTGTAGTTGGCTGGTTAAGAGAATTAGACGTTGAAGGTCTTAATGAAGGATTAGGGTTAGGGTTTGTAATGGGAGTTGTGGTTGGGGCTGGAGTTGTGGTGGACGAAGGTGGTTGTTGTGATGCTGGTTGTTGTGGTTGTGGAAGTGCCGATGATGGCAGTTGCTGTGGTGGTGGTGGGTCGGTAGGCTGTGAAGCTGTGGCTGTGGTGGCGGTGGTGGTGGTGGAAGGAGTAGGGGTTGGTTGGTCCATGAAGATTTTGCTATAGTGGAGGGAAATAAGGCTAAAAACTAATAAGAATGTCGTGTAGCTTAATTTTTTATCAGAATTAGCTTAATCTGGATTTTTGAATTGAGGCATTAATAGGGTACTGTATCTGGATTTGGAATTTAACCTTCTCGGCGGGTTTTTCGCCTACAAGCAGTGTGACTGTGAGCCCGGACAAGTTATGCACTGCACTGGGATGATGACTTTGGGCAAGCATAATTGGATAAAATTGAAAAATCTAATTGATCTGAGGCAAAAATCTAAATTCGGGTTTTGCGTTTAATAATTTTATTTTCATTTTGTTTTCCAACCAATATTTATTTGGTTTAATTTCAAAAAAAAGGCTTCAAATATATATCCAATCAATTTATATTTTAAAAATACCTAAACTCTTATATTTATAACAATAAAATGTTTTTTTTTTATGCAATTCATCATTTTCGATCCTTAGATTGCCACCTATTTAACACGTGGCTTTTCTTTTAAATGAAAAAAATACAATTTTTCTCTCTCTTTCCATGTCAGTCCTTAAGGTCCCCCCTCTCTCTCTCACTTTTCTTTTGGGATAATCCGTATTAAAATCAATCTCAGTATCTACATCTCTAAGCTTATTTTCTTGCAATTTTTGATTAGCATACAAAAATGAGATATAGGCTTCCACAATGAAAGATGCATTAAAGCTTTTGACTTTACAACAAATCTAAAAGAGAATCCAAAAATACAATCCCAAGATTCAAGAAAATAGTTGAGTTTAGACGTTTAGCCTGTATACAAGGAACTGAGGAGGATCCAATTTCAAACCTTAGCTGCAATAACAACAAAGAAAAAGGCTTGACTCCAAAACCAAATCAAGATAGCTCTAAATCAAGGATTTCTTCAACAAAGAACCCAAAAAAATAAATAAAAATAAAACAAAAAATTTATAAAAAATTAGAAGGAAAGATGTTGTCTTAACTTCAAAAGAAATTTCAAGTGAAAATCCAAAGAAATTAAAAACTCGAAATATAAAACTCAAATGTCAGCTTAGCTTCCAGGAAAGATGTTGATTTTGTGTACTTGCCCCATTTCCAAAAAAATCTGAGTGCAGGCTTTAGCTACCTGTGTCTAGAAGTGAAGGCGAAGAAATCAAGTGGGAGGTCACGACAAATCCTTGATCGGCAAAGCCAGAGTTGCTAGAATTTTGGAAAGTAACAATGAAAGATGAGAAAGATACATTAAAAAAAAAAAAAAAAGAAAAAAGAAAGGGAAAGTTAGTGTATAAGAGAGAGAAAGGGACCCTAAGGGCTAACATGGAAAGAGAGGGAAAAAAGTAGTATTTTTTTCATTTAAAAAGAGCAACGTGTTAAATACGTGGCAATCCGTCGATCAGAAATTGAGAATTATGTGAAAAGTCCTTTATTGTTACAAATGTGAGAGTTTAGATATTTTTTAAGTGCTAAACCTATAAAAAATACTCTCAACTTTTCAATTCGTTACGAAATTATTTTAATTTGACCTTTGTATTTTGGACACCTGCAATTTTAAAACTTAGATATATTAGCACTCTATTTTGAGATTAGAATTAGAAATTGAAATAAAATAATATAAATGTGGGACTCACAATATGAATTGGTTAACTTAACCCAAACTCAAAACTCCCCGTTTTGAGCTAACCTAATTTATCGTAGCACGTTCTCTACCCCAACTTCATCTCCCTCAAAGTGAAGCTTCTCTTAGAACAAGTTCTCCATTAAATTAAAGCTCAAACAAGAATAAAATAGGTAAGGGTTGAGTCCAAAATAAAAGAAAAAATAGGTCAGACCTCTGTCAACCTAGAAAAGCTTATTAATTGGAGAGAGAAGCGTCAAGAGATTCAAAATTTGAGATTGAAGCTTGATGATGAGATTATCTCAGCGAACTCAGCACGTAGAGCAGACGTCTCATATTCAAGGTAGGAGACTCGCGTGAAAAGGACGATGAATGTAATTTTATGGGTTACACCAAGCTTTTCAAATGAATCGGATGGTACCACTTCTAATACTTCCTCAAGAAGATTGAAGGTGGAACAATCGAAGATCTAATACCATCTGTTTTCTATCCTCTCCTTTGTTTTTGCTTTTTAATTTTGCGTTTTAGCACTTGTATTTTTTTTTAATTATTATTGATGCATGTTGTATTGTAAAATGCATTACAGTCGTAGCAGACGGAGTGGTTGGAAAAAGATACGGATGGGAAGCATTTTTTGTTTATATTTTTATTTTGTCAACAAATTAAAATTTATCAATAATTAAAATTTACGAATAATTAGGTTGTTCAAATAGGGAGTTTTGAGTCATTGGATTAAGTTAACCAAAGTCATATTGTGGTCCCATATTTACATTATTTTAGTTCAATTTCTAGTTCTAATCTCTAATAGGATGCTAATATATCTAAATTTCAAAATGAGGATGTCCAAAGTATAAAGGTCAAATTAGAGTGATCTTACAATAAGTCGAAAAGTTAAGGGTATTTTTGTAGATTTAACTATTTTTAAGATACAAATTAAAGTTGATACCGAATTAAGTGATTATGTATATATTTCTAGCCCTTCCAGTGAAATTAACCCATAGTTATTTATATTCTACTTCCTTGATAATTTTTGATGAAGTCTAAATTATAAGTTTTTCAAGTAAATTTAATTATTTAATTGTATTATGTTTTAATTGTGGCACTTCATTTTAGTCAATTATTTTTATGTTTATATTCTTCAATAAACTTAAATGCAAGGTACTCATCATCTTTCATAATATTAAGCATTATATTATATTCCCTCTTTCTCATAGTTTTTATCCTGATTTAACTTGCAATTAAAAAAATTTAATTAATATAGTTAAATTATAATTTTTGCTTTAACTTTTCTTAATATGCCTTTATGCTAATATCCATTAGAATTAAAACCTTGATTAAATAGAGTTTTCTTTGAAGATTAGAGGTTGATATTTTAATTTTCTTTATATCAAGATTTTTTTTTTTTTTTGGGTAAAATGGAGAGCAAGAGCCAAAAAAACTTGCAAGCATAATCTATAGGCTACATCATGGGTGAGCCAACAAGCCGTCCCCAGAGGGAGGTCTAATAAAACATGAATGCCCAAAGGGTCTTTTCTAACTAGCTTAGAGAGGAAATCAACACTAAAATTTGCCTCTCGATACACATGTTAAACAGAAGAAACACAATTCTAATGCAAAACACTTCTTATAGGTAATACCAATTAATGATATTGCGAAGACAAAATGCCATTGATGAATGATACAGTTACAAGGTTATCACATTCAACCATCAAATGGCTAATATGAAGTTGTGTCGCAAGTTTTAGGTCCTCCAATACTAGCCACAACTCGCACTAGGTAGAAAGCAAGTACCAATCTTCGTAACAAAACCTTAACACCAGTTTCTTGTTGCATCCCTTATAAGACCCCTGCCACAAGCTATGTTGTCCACTAAGGATCCATCTGTATTAAGTTTGAAATAAGGAGGAAGGGGAATAGACCAATTAATCCATCTAATCTGCCTAACCAACCGATCTTGAGCCATTCAGTTGAAAATAATTTATAACTTGGTATATTTTGAGGCACAGAAAAGAATATCCTACACAATCACTTCAACAAGGGGTGAGCACAATTTTGGTTCTATATGAAAAGTTTAAATATGGAAAGTTGAAGGTTATATAGATTTGAGTTTTCAACTTTAACTATTAATTTTTGGGATATGACTCTTAAAATTATTTAGTGGCTCTCCCAAAAAAAATTATATCAACATCGATACTGTTTTGTCTTGCATTCATTCCACTTGAGCGCTTCAGAAGTGAGTGTTTTGAATAATCTGTATTCTGTTATGCATCAACTATGATACCAATATAGTAATATTACTCTAATAAATATTTTATTGCTATTTTTTAATTAGTTAAATAAAAAATGTGGTGCATCTTATAATTATTTAGTGGCTCTTCGAAAAATTATATCAACATTAGACTATTTGTCTTACATTCATCCCACTTGAGCACTTCACAATACTCTTAAAAAATGAGTATTGTATTATGCTATAGTATATGCAGAGTGATGTATCCTGCTGGTGTATTGCATATGATACTAATATAGTAACATAACTCTCATAAATAATTTATTATTATTTTTTAATTGGTTAAATAAGAAAAATATCATGCACATGCTCTGAGGATTGATAATTCTCTTTTTGTGAAGACCATAACAATGTAATGACCTCCTTTCTTCATTAACGTTTTATTTTCAATTATTTTCTTTCAACCTATCTATATTTATTTATTAATTTATATCTTCATCTATCTATATAAATATATAAAAACAGAGGTATGGAAGCTGACATGACATAAAATTAGATAATTAAAGTGATGCTTGACATCTAACTTGACATTATTTTTTTATATTTTTAATTTAATTAATTTTTTAATTGTTTTGCATATGCATTATGTTAAATAATTGCTACAATTAAAATAGTGATATTAAATAAAATCTTGGGCGATTGTATTAGAGACATCAAAATCAATAGTAAGGGTTTAAAAAGGCAATCTTCAGTCAAGAAATTTCTATAATCTTTCCTTTTCAATATAAAGGTTTTATTGTTTAGAATCATCGTTTATTACTTTATGCTTTATATTTACCTTTACTTTAGTTTCTTTTTCTTCCTATCATGTTTGTTTTAATTCTTGGTTTAGATTATAAGATTTCAAATATAGAACTCATGTTTTATAACTTGCATTGCATTAAAAGTATTATAAATTTTATTGCATTTAAAATTCTCAAATTCATCTTATATGTCAATCAAATTTAAAATAAAAATTTTTCGTAAATTTAAAATATGCACAAATTAGATTTCACCTTTCGTAGTTCAATCAAATTACTTAAAAGGATTATTTAAATGACAAAAAAAAAAAAAAAACCTAAGATCCTTCCTAAATTTTTTATCAAAAGCAATATTTCACAACTTGTACATCGCATGGGCTGATGGCTAGTTTTAAATATAAAAATACATTTCGTTAACTCCTACCAAATATACACTCTAGCGGTGTGCATGGGTCGAATTGGGATGAAAATTCTTAATTTTCAATCCCTCCCAAAATATCGGGGCGTAAAAAAGGGTGTCCTAATAGATATGTAGTCTCTTCTCATCTTGTCTCATTTTTTGGAACATGATGGAAATTCGGGTCTGTGGGACATGATGGAATGGGTCAGGTCGGAAATCAATTGGGATTTTCCATTTTACTAAATTAATTTTCATCAAAAAAAGATGAAAAAATTACTACATTCATCAATTTACAATCAAACAAAATTAATTATATAAGTTTGAGTTTAAAAAAAATAATAATAAATCAAATGATTAATTTAATCATTGATTATCTACCACCAAAGTTATACTAGAAGATTTTTAAGTAATTATTTTTTAGTTAATAAAAGTGTTAAATATAATAAAATAAAATAATGCAAAAATTATATACAATTTAATTTTATATGTATTTTATGAATTTTAATTCGTCATTGTTTTTGTCACTCTTGTCTTTAAGTTGATTTAAATTCAATACTACGTAATTTAATCTTGAATATCATTTGAAAAATAAATAATGATAGCATCAAGCATAACCAATAATCCAATAATCAGATTAATTGAAGTTAATATTTTCTCTTGTATTAATTAATCTTTTCATTTTTTGTTTAATAGAAAAAGTTAATTAAAAAAGATTTACTGAACATATACTGTGGAATATCAGAGGAAAAATCAATGTTGAAAATTATGTTTAATTACTTGATTTATTTTATATTTAGAAAATGTATATTATTATTACTTTAGTAGTAATTGGTATCATAAAAAATTAAAGTAAAAAAGGATGAAATGATTTTTAGGGGCATAATTTGAAATTTCATATAAAAAGACAACTAGAATTTTAAAGAAAAAATGGGACCAAAATTCTAGATTTTTAGGTTAGGACAAAACTTGGATCAATTTTAATCAAAGAACCAGTCCCATCTCATAAATACTTTTAAGATCGGACTATCAAATTAATATCGAGTTTTTTGGGAATGAAAAATTCATGATAATTTTCGAAAACGTATCGAAATTCTCGCGGTCCCGTGCATACCCCTAATACCCTCAATTGACAATATTCACACTGGACATGTGACACCTCACCTAGTAGTAAGCGCCAATTCATTTACAGAAACAATTCAATTTTTAAACGTTTGTAGTATAGTTGTGTATTCTGCTAGGGATGGCCAAGTTACAGTTCCTGGAACCGAAATCGGTGGGAACCGAAACTCGAACTGGAACTGGAACCGGTGGCCTATGGTTCGATTTGGGTTCCACCATTTTTGGAATTGTGAACCGATGGTTCCACGAACTAGCTGGAATCATCTGGAATCGCCGGTTTTTCCAGCCGATTCAAACTGACGGTTCCAAGAATATTTGAATTCCGTTTGAAACGGCTAGAACCGGCGGTTCTAGCCGATTCCAGCAGCTTTTTTGTTTTTTTTTTAATTTTTATGAAATCCCCAAATTACCCTTCCTAACAACTATAAACGGCTACATAACGGCTAGTTTCCAGAGCATTTGTGAAAAACTAATTTTTTGGATTAATTATAAATACCTCATTCCATTTGCAATCCCCTCATACAAAATTATCTCTACTCTCTCTACTCTATATTATTCTTCTCTACTCTACAATCTCTCTGATTTTCATTCATAAATTATTGTCCAAAATATTGTCTACTCTCTCTACTCTAAATATTAATTCTTCTCTAACTCTAGCAATCTTCCTCTGATTTTCATTCATAAATTATTTGACGTCCAAAAATATTGCAAGAATAATTTCTTTTAAAGGTCAATATCTCAATTATTTGTCCAAATTATTGTGAAATTAATTTCTTCAAATTTCAATCTCTAATTATTCTCTCTAAAATTTTTTTATTTCATAATTTTCTAAATTAGCATATTATTTTTCCTATGATGGGCAAGTAGAGGAAACTCAGTTTCGCTAAGGGCAAGGGAAAGAATTGGAGAAACACAATATTGCATGATATCCCTACAAACGACATCTTTGATTTCACTCTTGACCGCAATATAAATCTTGAGGGATATCCAAATGAAAAAAATTTGGAAAATTTCAACTCAAGAAATCCTGAATTTAATGAATGAGGGCAACTACAACAAGAAGGAAGAGCAGAGCAAGAGTAAGGTACACAACGTTTTTTCGAAGAGCAAGATAAAGTTCCGACATATTCGTTTTATTTCATTTCACGACAGAAATTCAAAGGGGGAATAAAATGTTCGAGTGTAATTTGTAATGTTATTGTGGAAAATCTTAAATTCAAAAACAAGCGGGTTGGTTATGGATCATTTTGGAAGCAATTGGAGGCAAAACATCCCAACAAAAATAGGAGTTGATCTGTCTTCAAAAACACAAAATTTCAGGTGCGGCATCTTCTAGAACATTTTTTATTTTCAAATATTCTGAAAAAACATAACAAAAAAGAAGAAATTACTAAGAATAATTATTTCTATGGAACATTTATCTTTTAGCTTTGGTGAAAAAATAGATTTTAATCAATATTGTCAAAAAGCTTTAAATCCTTTTGCTAAAAGAGTGCTAAGAAATATTATAAAACAAACTATTATTTCTTTATATAAAAAAGGAAAAAAAGAGTTTAACTTTTATTTTCTGAAATGATAATTCGTATTTTAATTTGTTATGATATTTGGAGTGATCATTGATAAATACATTCTTATATGGGTATTACATGTTATTGGATTGATGATGATTGGAAAATTCGAAAAAGAATTATCGCATGTCGTGCTTTTGAGGATAAATATAGTGCAAATAATATTTATAGAATAATTGTTTCAATTTTAGATGAATATAAATTAACCAAAAAAATTTTTTTAATTTCATTTGATAATGTTTACCCCAACACTAAATCAATTATTGAACTTAAATCAATTTGTTGACCAAATATTGGTGGAAAATTTTTTCATATTAGATGTGCATGCCATGTTTTAAATTTTCATATTTTTTCATATTAGATGTGCATGCCATGTTTTAAATTTATGTGTACAAGATGATTTAAAAGTTCTTGAATATTTTATTTCTCCAATTAGAAAAGCTATATCATATTTATGGGGACATCCCCGAGTGATAAAAAAGTTGGGCTAAATTTTGTAAGAAAAATAAAAAAAAGACCAAAATATTTTTTAAGGGATGTCCTAACTCGTTCGAATTCAACATATGAATTATTAAACGAGTCTTTTTCATATAAAGAATTATTGTGTATTTTTGTTACTAACAATATTGAAAAAATTAATTTATATCCACAAAATTGGGATATTAATTTATATCCACAAAATTGGGATATTTGTGCAAAAATTTTAGATATTTTAAAAATTTTTAATGATGCTATCTATAAATTTAGTAGAGTTTATTATCTCACATCTTATTTATTTTTTCCTATATGTATTAATATTGTTAGTGCACTCCAAGAATTTGAAAATGATTTTATATTATAAGATTGTGTTTTTTCAATAAAAAAATGGTTATCTTATTTTAAAAATATACCATCCCTTTATCTTGTTGCTTGTGTATTTGATCCTAGATGTAAAATTGAAGTTTTATCTGAATATTTGAATATTTATTATGTTGAAATTTTATCTGAATATTTGACTCTTTATTATGAAATATTAAATCTTGATATATAAGATAGTGTTAATATAAATGTAGTATTGCATAAAGTTAGACAAAATATTATAAAATTATATACTGAATTTGTTGAATGTTCTAGTTCATCTACTTCTAATTTTTCTCAATTTAATAATCAATCATTCTCAACTGAAAGGATAAGTGTTGGTGTTGTTGAACGTATATTACTACAAAGATAAAAAAGACTCAGGGAATCCGATTCTTTTTTCGAATTTGATAATTATCTTACCACTTTTTTTGAGTTTGGTGCTAGTTTTGCAGACAATAAATTTCCAATTCTAGATTGGTGGAGTCGTCATGCCAATACATTCCTAGCCATTTCACTAATTATAAAATAAGTTTTAGCAGCTCCGGTCTCCACTGTTACTTAAGTTTTAGCAGCTCCGGTCTCCACTGTTACTGTTGAATAAGCTTTTAGTTAAGGAGGAAATATACTTGATAAAACACGATCTCATATGACACCTGATTCACTAGAAGCAAAAACATGCGTGGATGATTAGAGTAAAGCCGATCTAAGAGCACAATAGAATATAAAACAATGAAGATGTTTATGATCTTTACAATGGATCCTCAACGGGAACATCAACCTGTGGTGGAAAAGCAACTAAGGTAAAGGGATGAAATTGGTACAAGGTAAGTAAGAACTACGTCGGCTTTTATTTCTCTAAACCCCAAAAGGATACGTAAAGTCCTGCTTTTTTTTTTTTTTAAATTAATTTTTTTTTTTTAAAATTAAGTTACCAGACTTTTTTAAACAAAAAATAAATTATTTAAATTGGTACAAGGTAAGTAAGAACTACGTCGGCTTTTATTTCTCTAAACCCCAAAAGGATACGTAAAGTCCTGCTTTTTTTTTTTTTTAAATTAAGTTCCAACTTTTTTAAACAAAAAATAAATTTATTTAAAGACTTTTTAAAAAAAATAAATTAAATTCAATCATTTTTATATTTTTTATTATATTTTTTTCAGAAATTATTTCACAAAATTTTAAATTTTAAATTTTGAAGAAAAATATTCTGTACTTTCTTATTTTACAATTATGTTGTTCACCGGAAAACTTACTGAAACCGTCGGTTTTAGAACCGTTAAGGAATTAAAACCGGTTCGATTTCAAAACTGTGGCAGTGTCTGATTCCTGCCTCTCAGGCGAGTGACTCACATTCGATCCCGCAACGGCGACTTCTTTTTATCCCTTCAGGAACGTTGACTTTTTTGTTACAGTTAATAATTTATGTTACAATAAAATTTCTGCTAGCAACCAGTCAGGTCGTTGTAGTATAGTGGTAAGTATTCCCGCCTGTCACGCGGGTAACCCGGGTTCGATCCCCGGCAACGGCGATATCTTTTTTATCTCCTCGAAACTGTGCGCTTGTTTGGTTGCAGAGAGAGTGTTCTTTACTTGATAGCTCAAGTATTCAGTAATATATTGACTGTTTTATATTTTCTACACTTATTTTTAGAAAGAAAATCAGTTGAATTTTTCATTATTAGAGGATGGAATCTAATTCATTAGAGTTAGATATGGTCCGGTCTCGATTTTAACTCCAGGGAAAAAAAGAAAAAGGACAACAACGCAGATTAGAGGGTCCAAGCATATCAGAAGTAATGAAAACTGATCCGATTTTCAAGAAAGTAAAGACTCATTTCCTGTTGCTGCATTGTCATCAATAAGAACTTGATACTGTCCATTGGAGTTTCCATCTTCTAGAGTAGGTGTAGGAGCTTCATTCTTGTCACTGTTAAAGAAACCAATCATTTCTTTAGTAAAAAATAAAGAATGGACAAATTCTTTTTATTCAAATCTTCTTCAAAAGGAGATATAACATCACAAGAATTGAAGCATACGTTGTTGAATAAATTATCAGTCCAACTGCTACAAGTGCAAAAGCAAGAAAGTATAGCCAGTCAACCTGCAATTGAACCCAAAATTTGGTCAGTGCAACTGTTAGGGTTTTTCCCCAACTATTTTGGGATTAAGACTTAATTTTTGTTCTGTTGTTGTATTCCCATAATTTTTTCCTCTTTGATGGTTGTCATACTCCATAAGTGTTTTTTTAACGATCGAATCTGGTAAACTTAAGTGTGCCTTACCACTTGAACTTAAAAATTGAAAAAGCACTCAAGCCATGCTTCTAATTAAGGTGTTTTGTTTTTTTTTCTAGCGGAAGCTTAAATCTGCTCATTGGAAAAAAACAATCAACCAAAATGCCAAACAAAATGTACTACCTGCTGGTGATAGAAGAAGATGCGAAAAACAACTGCCCACATATCAGACGTGAGGATAGAGAGATTGAACATTGTGGTTCCACCCATCTGTACATGCATGTGCAAAATACTTTCATTAGAGAGTAATCATGAAAATGTCTAACTATAGATGGATCCATTTTTCTACTTGCAGAACTACAACGTAAAACTAAAATAAAAAATTTAGACACAAATTATAGTCTTTCTTTATGTCACTCAATGTTATAACTAGTTCTGCCTTGCATAGGATATTTGCAGGGCATCAAAGGGAAATCAGTAATTTTTCCAATTAGAAAAGCGATTAACAATTTGGCAAAACAAGAATAGATATTTACCTTTAGAACATAAGGAGCAAGGGTATAGAACAAAAATAGTGACACATTATACCCTGCGATAGCTATTATCTGAAAGTAAAGAGTAGAAAACATAAATTATCAGTTACATAAAGTAACCAAATCATATTTGAATTTCTCAGCACTGATAGAAAGCCATGAGAAAGATTATATAAGAATAGTATCACTTACAATATCTGCAGACCATTCGACTGATTCAAGACTCTTCACCTCTAATATAGATCTATAAAAAGGTTATGGAACTTAAGCAAATCATTATGATATAATTACCGAAAGAGGAGAATAGTATTTGTTGCCCCTGAAAAGGATACAACTCAAGTACACTCACTAGAAATCCATAAAAACCAATCATCGCCACAACTTCAACTCGGTCTTTCTTCTTAACACAAAATTCCTGCATTGAAGAGAGAAATTACAAGTTAAGAAACTCTAGAAGGTTGAAATACTAATAACAATGGTGAAAATCTTATAGATGTAAAAATTTGTCTTGAAAATTTGAGCATCAGATTTGCATAGACAGAGTTGAATAGGATTGATCACCTACCTCACCAACATTACTAAAGGCAAAGAAAATTGTCCCACCAATAACAAGTGAATCACCCCAAAGAGGCTTTGAACCACCTGAAACATATTACTAATATGTAATGTTTGTGGACTTAGAAACTATAATACGACTATAAAAAAGTTGATAGTAATTCTAAGACAAGAAAAGAACAGTCACCTCCGCCACCCACCCCAGCATCAGAGAGAAGAACCAAACCAAGGCCCAAAACACATATGACTGCACCAAATAACTGCCATATCGAGTAGCGAGTGCCAAGGAAGAACCAGGTAAGAACTATGGCCCATGCTACTGTGAAGCAATCCAATAATGTTACACTAGTAATTGATGAAAATTGGTATGCCTTATTAACTGCATCAAAGCATCAAGAAGTTAATATGGTTCTTGAAATCCAAAGATATCAAATAGTGATAAATGTCAATTGGACATTGGGAAATATATTTCAAACT